TGCCTAATTTAAAATCTTAAATTGTAAAAAATTTACAAATTACGGTTAAATGTAACGAGAGGGTAACCATTAATTGAAATATTGTCCCACAGATTACATGATTTCATATGATTTCATCTAATTACAAATAATCTTTTTCACTTTGAAGTTATTTGATAAAATATACGATTTTATTTAATATTATACAATGATTTCTCGTGATTGCATATGTAATTATATATGTAATGATTATACATAGAGATTTCATATGAATTTTATAATGATTTCGAAGACTCTGTCCCACGATTACAACTAAGTGGTTACTTTCTCGAAATAAGAAAAATAATCAATTGTGATTGATCACTTTCTTACAGCTTAAGATTTAAAGTAGGGATGGCAAATACGCATTATTTGTTACTTTTTATCATTACTTTGTTATAATAATGATTTGTTATAATAATGACGTTGCGAATTTTTTAATGACGGCAACGGTAATACCAGAGTTAGAAAAGTTCCTTGTATTGAAAAACTCCTTATATTTATAACAAATTACTTTTATTAATTACTTGTAATGAATAAAGTAACGCAATCATGTACAACGAATTATTTTTTTTAGTAAATAACACGTAATGATGACGATGATGCTTACCCAGTGAAAAATGATAATGGAATTGACATCGAATTGATGTCGATTTGACGTCGAAATTATCAAATCAACGTTGATTCGATAGATTTCATTGTCTTTTCTCATTGAGTAGGAGCTTCTAAAGTCGTCCTGTTTTACCACGATTACATTTTAGGAAAAATCTCCAAATTGACTTCACGGATTATAAAATTTTTTTTACAGAATTAAAGAACACATAAAAAGAAATCATCTGAAAACACGATTTCACGAGAAAATCGGAAAAAAAAATTTTTAATTCACTTTTTCCAGCATATACAATTGTCACTTGACAGTATGGTTTAACATTTGCTTGTTATAAAAGTTTTATAGTTTGTAGATTGAAAATAAGCATGAAAGGGGATTCAGATTATTTAAATGAACAATACTAAATTTGTGGAATTAAAATTCAAAGTGTAAGAAAAATATTTCTCCTAAAACGAAGTTACGTACTTTGATACGACTTTTTTCCTCTTTTATAGATTCGAAAATTCTTTTCCGGAATTAAAGTATACGCATTAATATGTATCTGTGAAGTAGAGTTTATACCGAGAACGACAAAAAAATTTTTCTTCTTTAAGATTTCAATTTAAAAATTTTTTATCTCGAAATAAATTCCACCTCACATGTATTAACGTATACTTTAATATATTAGGAAAGGATTTTCGACTTTGTAAAAGAGGAAAAAAGTAATTGTTATACAAAAATTATAATTAGTCGGTAATGCAGACGGTTTAAAGATCGTCATTATTATTATTATTATTATTATTGTAAAATGTAATAGAAAAAGTAACGACGTTACTATACTTGCCATTTCTGAGCTTACAATTAGACTTATTGAAAGCTGATAAAATAAGTTTGATTCCGTGTGTGTGTGTGTGTGTGTGTGTGTGTGTGTGTGTGTGTGTGTGTTTGCGCGCGCGTGTGTGTGTGCGCGTGCGTGCGTGCGTGCGTGCCCGCGTGCGTGCGCGCGCGCGCGTGCGTGTGTACGTGTGTGTATATGCGTGCGTGTGTAAAAAAAACAATACTATGCTTTTTATAAAAGCTTTTTAAAAAAGAGAAATCTAGTCAAGAAATTCAAGTATAACAGTACTTATATACAAAAAATATGTGCATATGCAATACAAGTAAATATCTAGGCCGGTCCGTTTTTATTTAAGATTGTCTTAAGTAACATCTTAAGATACTAATACGGTCCTCTGATTGATTCGTAACATCTTAAGACAGTCTTGAATATAAGAATCGACTATGAATATCGGCCATAAAATCTCAATGGTTGTTTAATAAATTATATAAATTATTCACAAAGTGACAATTTTTGCACAAACAATGGCTACGTTCAGCAGAACGTTTATTTTGCAACTGTTAGAAGTTTTCTTCGCGCTGATTAGATTATATTTTTAGATCTAGAAGAATGGGTCTATCTCAGCAGACAATCATAAAATGATTGCAAAATTGTTGTGTTCTGCTGGAAACGCAGCCTATTAAAATACTTATCAAATGAAGTTAAGTGTTGCAGTTAATTTCATATTATAAATGCATTCCAATTATTTGTGCAAGAATTATCTTATGGCCTTTTGAATACATATTTTATGAATTAAACCGTGAAGGAACCTCATATAGAAATTTTAGATTTATTCTTGGAATCACTATTATTTCAATTTGTGCATTTGTATGCATTGGTCTAATATATATTGATATATGTCAATGTTCATAAATTATAATATACATATGTAAATCGTGTGTGCTTAATCGATAAAGTAGTGACTTCGTTGAAATTCGATCATCAGATTTATAATAAATCTTAGAGCAATTTTTATAAACATATTAAGAATTTTAAGCAATTTTTATAATATTACAAATTAAAATTTTGACGTGACATTTTCTTATTTTTATATTATTTACTTTTACTATTTTCTTTCTCTCTCTCTCTCTCTCTTATAATTTCAAAAATTCAAGAAAATTGCATTTCTTTCGTTCATTAAGAAAAGTTGATTAAATGATTGAAGAGAAGGAACTTAACAAACTTAGCCAGTAATGTCTAGAACAATATTGAATTATTTTTTAAAGCTTTAAACAATTGATAACTGTAAAGAAATGTATAATTATAACATATGAAAAATTAGCAAAATAACTTTCAAGTAATGAAAATTCTTCATATGATATTTTTAACAATTATATATAAAAAATATTAATAAATGCAGACATATAGTAATATGTATATACATAAGTACAGTATTACAGAGAGAGAATAAAAAACGGGAAAATTTAATTTAAAATCAAAGCTTAGAAACTTCATTCAATTAATTTCAATTACATACAAAATATAGAATATAACGTGTAATTTACAAACCACTTTATTAAGTTCATCAATACCGGTCGCGATGTAGTACTGAGACATCATTGTGCAGTCTTATTAATGCCTGTACATAGACTGTGTTCTGTGTTTTTCTTTCTGCAATTGTCTAAGCCATTACCTAAGCTTTAAGTCTTAAGTATCACCTTCTTAAGTAGTATACAGTGTCTATAAAGATTACTAACAAAGAGCTAAAAATGCATATGAATGAAAAAATTTGCAATGCTATTTGTCCTATATACATATATCTTTAAAACTTAAGTTACAAGACAGTTATGTGTATTACTAAAGAGAAAATACTTAAGTCGACGAGAGATATTGTGTCTTAAAGTTATAAGTTAATAAGTTATATATTTTGCTAAGATCCTTACGGTTTCTTAAGTCCGGATCTACAATAGGTGTTTTAAATCTTAAGTCTTAAGAAACTGACCAATTACAGCTGAATGCGAGAAGAATAATCGATTGTTCTTGATTTGTTCTTATGGCTTAAAGTTTAAAAACCTATTGTAGATCCAAGATGAAATAAGGTTGTGGACTTAGACTTAGGTAATGGCTTATTGTAGAAAAACTATTTCATTTAGCGTTTGCAACGCTCATGAAATTATTTCATCTTTGTTTATTAAGATTTTTTTGTTATGCGAGTATCGAAAATCTATACAAAAATAATAGATTTTCAGTATTTGCAGTGAATAATAGAACACAACCTAAATGTTAAATAAAGACAAATGATACTCACGAAATTGCGAGCGCCAAATAAAACGCACTCTTAGTAAACATAAAACATAAAATTAGTTAACAGTATACATTTGTAAAATCGTGTTATAAAAATAGTGATTGCGCCCAAATTTATAAGGAGGCATTTATTTATGTCATTACGATTAGCACTGTCAGCAATCATCAGCTCTGTAATTCGCATTTAAAAAAAAGACATTTGATACAAAAAAACGATGAAACGCATAAACTAATGACAAGGTCATAAAGATAAAGTGCAAAATTTTTTATAAGCAGTTTGAGCGGGGTCACTATTTTTATAATACAATTGTATATAAAGTGCATATTACTACTCCAATGCTCCATGTTTATTAAATAACATCAATGAGACTGCACAATGATGTTTCCGAATCCTAACCAATACAATCTGTCAATACTGCAGAAAAAATTTCTCATTTCTTTGACCCACTCTGTATAGTAATTCATTTATTGAATATAATACACACATACACTAAGTGTGTTCTTCAGTTTATTCTATATAAATGTACATATAATATACACACATTAAAAAATATTAATATATTTAAAAATTGTAAATAAAAAATGTGTAATATTCGTCTGATACATATATTTGAAATTTACATGAATACTTTCTATATCCTTTTTCTAATGGCATAATTAAACCATATTTTAAATTTATAATTATGTGAAAAAATAAAATAAGTTTTACCAAGAAAATTTACTTACTGCATGTATGATATAATCTATATAAAATTTCTGAAAATTTTCTTATATATGTTAATTATATTCTAAAATTAACAATGACTTCGTTTAGTAGAGAAAACAGCTTCGTAATTGTTGTAAAATTCTTCAATATGATTGGTTTATTACATTTAGATTCGTAAGGAAGGCAAGAATCATTCGTATTAAAGAATTTTACAACAATTGAAAAGTTGATGCAACAAATGTTGTATAATAATAAAAATTCTTTGTCATGAAAAAAATAACACACAAGTATAAATTATGAATTTAATTTACAATAAAAGTAAAATGATTTTATTCACATATTTTATTTAATATTTAAAAAGCAAACATTAAGTGTGTACTTTTCCATATTACATTACTTTTCCATATTACATTAATACTAAAGTTCGATGTATCACACACAAGTTACACAAATTGATAATAGTGTTTTAAACATTTTATATCGCATGTGAGAATCTGTCTCTTAAATAACGTTTACAAAAAATATCCAACAAAATATGATAAAGTTTATTTTTAATGTGTGTCAAATGTGAAACTGTATTACTCCATCACTTTAGTATGAGTCTTCAAATGATTGTTCAAAGAAATTTTATTGATAAAGGCTTTTGAGCAAATTGGACAGACATGCGCGCGCTCCAAGTGCTGTTTTAAATGCTCAGTGAATATTGTGTTGTTCTTAAAGAGTTTCTTACATATGTTACATTTAAGATCTTCCTCAGGTACCTCTAAGTGAGTCCTTGTGTGCAAATCAACTTCCTTAACGTTGTCAAACTCTTTAGAGCACACTCGACAACTGAACTTCACCGCCTGAAGAATGCCTATTTGACTTCCGGTTAAAGGATTTGGTACAGATATCATCTTCTCGCTTTTAATGTTACATGTAATGCTTTCTTTCTTTCCATTAGAGCATGTGTGATTCCTGTAATATTAGTAGCATTAAAAAAAATGTATAGAAAAAATACATATTTAATATATTAATATTTTATGAAATAAAATTGTTATTTATGTAAGATATTATTTCTTAAATTAATGACTGTATATGCTTATAATTACGCTGTATAAGCATAATTATAATATGATAATATTTACAGCAAAATTCTCTTAAAGAATAATTATTCTTTTAATAAAAATATAAGTTTACCTGTAAGCTTGATCGCTTGTGAAATTAATATTGCAGTTTGTACATGAATAATCAGTTTGTTTAGGAAGTATCGTAGTTATAGGAGAAGTAACTTGAATAACAGTGTTCTGTAGATTTATTTTAGCATGTTCTTGCAAATAATGCTGCTTAATATTATTTTTCTGATCAAATACTTTACGACACAGGTGACACTTGTATGGATGTCTCGAATTGGTATTAATATGCAATTTTGAATGCTTGTCAATCATCATTTGAGAGCTACATTCAATCAGACAGATATCACAAGTAAAATGTATTTTGTTGATGTGTATACATAATGATTGCAGATCAGAAAAAGACATAGAACATTTAGCACAAGGATAGCTTTTGGATAGCGGTTTCATTTCAAAAAAATATTTATCACATACTTCGCATTGAAATGCTATTTTTGATTGATATATACATTTTTTTAATTTGCAGGTACCCTTAACACAAGGTTCTTTATTAACTGGTTCTCTTTTCGTTTTGCTTTTTATTGTCTCTTTCGTGTCATTGTTAAATGTTACTAGAGGCAGTATCTTTTTACATTTCGGAGCTGGTTTACTTCGTATTTTATCTATCTGTATTATCAAACGATATGTCTTTACATTCGACTGAGAATTTTGTATTACAGAAGTCAATACGGAAGAACCATTCATAGATCCATAATTCTTTGACGTGTCTGTTTTACTTCTGCCAAACAAATCTTCAATCTGCAATGTAACATAGGAATGTACATCAATCATTTATTAACATTTTGAAAATATACTAATTAAATGAAGGACTACCTAGAAAACGTTACAATCATCATTTTTATAAAGTAATATTTCAATAGAAAAGTGCTTGTAGCTTGTAACATGCAATGTGATAAAATGTAATGATCAAAATCCATATATTAAACAGAGAATTATGGACAGAAGAAGTTGACAATTAGTGAAAGAACATTGCTTCTAAGTATGAAAATATAGCAGCTTAGTTTACATCATGCATTGACTATGGGTAGTAACTTTTTATTGAATGTTCTTAATTTCAGCGATACGTTAAAACATATACATGATATGTATATTTAATTAATCATTATGATATGATGTATATAATATCAATTTAATATTAATTAATATATCATTGTTTAAATACATTGTTGAAATTAAAATAGAAAGTTACTAGTTAGTATGTGTATCAAGTGCACAATATAAATTAGACCAGTGGACAAATAGTATGATTTTGTCCGTGTCTATCGGATTAAACATTTAAAAATAAAAAATAAAAAATTAATTTTGATAAATATAAAAAGCGCAAAAAAATTGAAAAATAATGAAATAGAATATATTAACTATAAAAACAATTCAGTTCCTGTTACAACATCTCTAAGTTAGGTAAGCAGGTAAGGATAAACATTACATCTAAAACACAAAGTATATTTAAACTGTATATTCAAGCTTAAAGTCTCCCAATCTTTCTCTTTTCGAGAAAGAAAAAGATTAGGAGATCTTAAGCTTGAATATACATTTTTATATAGTGCACTTATATTGGAAAAACATTGCGTACGTCATATATAATTTTTCCTGTCTCAAATTTTAAATAAATAAAATTTTATGTTTATTACATTTTTATAAAATAATAAGACTTCTACTTAATTAAAAATCATAAAGAATTTAACTTTTAAAAAATTAAATGGAAAAATTTAATGATTTTTGTGAAATTTTAAAAATGTTGAATGCAATATTTTTCCAAGGAGTTTTTCAAAAAAGTTTTTAAAAAATAAGCTTACATTATTCTGCATGGATGGACTCTGTGGTGGTGTCATTGAAACATGCGAATGTTCATCTAACTTTCTCCGTTTAGCTGATACTTTTGCTGACATTGTCTGCGATATATTCTTTGCTTGTTCTTTTGAAAATTCTATAAAGAGATATATATTTTTTTTTATTATGATATCATATAATAATTTATAAAAATCTTATTAGATACATAAGAATAAAAAAAGATATGAACAGAATTTCTATAGGCTCTAATAAAATAAATCAAATAAAAAGCCTTTGAGAATCAATGCTGGATGTTACAATTAACAAGATATTTTGATCTTTAGGATCCTCTTCAATTATATTAATAATATAATAAAAATATATACAAATTAATTACAATATATGCAATTGGATCATTAAATTGTGTTTAAAATTATTAAAATTATTTGTTTGTCGTTATGTCAACTGTGAATAAAATACTTGAATAAATAGTCAATCATATCCATATATGTCCATTATATCTTATTTTTTAATTTAATGGCAGTTTAAAGATGGACACATCATATGATGTTAACAGCAAGCTTATCATGTTTTAATAAAAAAGATATAATTTTAAAATAATAAGATCTTAATGATGAAAATGTTATTACTATAGTTCAGTCAGGTTTGTGTTTCAAGAAACAAAAAATCAATTTGACACAAAATTGACAATATAAATAAATGATATATGTAGTATATATAACTTCACATCTTATTTAAAATTATTTAAATAAGATGTGAAGTTATATTATACTACATATATCACTTAGTTATATACTACATATATTACTTAAGGTCCAGCTTGATCATTTAATAAGGAATTTATTCTCTACTTGTGCACTTCAATAAAAATCACAATGTATGTTTGTAAATATATTTTTATTTTTAACTATAAAATTTTTTTTTTTTTTGAAAAATTAATTGAAAAATTAATATGGAATAATTAACAATGCAATAAGTGAAATTATAAACAAATATGATTATTTTCTTTGTTGCACAAATGTGCAAACAATAATACTTATCAATATTTTGACACAGAGATATATAGTCATGGCAAGATTTATTCTGTCTTACCAAACAACGGGAACAGCTTTCAAATCTTTGGACGCGGTGAACTAAACTTTCTCAAAGTGAAACACGCAAATATGCAAAGATTCCTTGCTGCTGGATGCTAGACCACAGTTGCGAAACCATTTATTCTTCCTCCTAATATTCAACAAAACTTAAGAGACTGAACGACCAGCATGCGTTGATTGTTATGGTAGAACTCACAAATTGTCCTCAGAAAAGAAATAAGGAAAAAAATCTGATCGGCTTGCAATCTAACTTTATGTTTTGAGTAGAGAGACAACTACTGATCATACAAGTTATCATTATAATACAATAGAGATATCAAAAGACACTATTATCTCATAATCACGAGACTATTGATGTATGTACAAATAATGCTTATAACCTTAAAATGAAATTCGAGTCTCGACTGGTTCCGACGTAATTGACGCGCAAAAACGTAGCAAATAAGTGTGTGCGTTCCAAAATGATTTTGTCAACTCGAAGCTCGGAGCTAGGAATATCTTTTAGGCTGCATTTTCATGCTAATGCTCGACGCTCATTTTCGGCGTCAAAATAAATCACATGATAGAAATTAACGAATATCAAGCATCAATTTTAACACGTAACCTATTTTAACGCTAAAAATAAGCATCGAGCGTCAGTATAAAAAAGCAATTTTAAGTGGATTTTCACCTGACGCTGAAAAGGTACTTTTATCTTTGTTCAACTTCGGTGAAGAAGGATAAAATATTCGGATTGATAGAGTCAAGTTTTGGAACACAAAGTTTTCATAAGCGATTTGAGGTTTGTTCGCGTCGCATGTGGTCGCATGCTCTAACATGCTCTTACTTCCTCCAATCGTAAACTCGAATCTACAATAAATTTTACTTAATACTTAATAAATTTTACTTAAACCATAAGAAAACCTTAAGCCATAAGAAATGGAATTCGAATCACAATCAATTATTTTCCTCGCATTCGACTGTAGTTGGTCAAAATTCTTATAGTTTCTGCATACTGCGGTAACCAATGAACACATTAGAAGTTGCTTATTGGCTACCGCTTCACATTTTGCCGCGCGGCAAGCGTTTCCGCATCCAGTGTGCAGGAGCCATAATGGCTTGAAGCTTAAAACATCTATTGTAGACTAAAGCGGACTAAAGCGGAGAGCACAGACTCTCACGTAACACATAATACGTAATGCATAAGAGAATAAACCAAATCCTTTGTTTCCTTCCTTTCGATGAAATAAAGAACTCTGATTAGTTGATTTTTATAAATCTTTGTTGATGTTTTATGCGTTATACAAGAATCTGTGCTCCCTATTTTATCATTCCATGAGCCAAATATAAAATCTGAGGATCGAACAAATTTACTGGGATTTACTTTGGGAAGTGAACAAATTTACTAGAGTATTCATAATTTAATTGATCAATATCTAATAAATCTTTGCTCACTTTTGTAATTTTCATCTCATTTGAAGATACATAATCGACCCCTTGTTTTTTGTGGCTGAATTAGCGTACACTTTTGGAACTTAAAGTAAAATAAATATTTCATATTTGTTTAAACAAAGAGAGTTAGAACAATCTAAAACAATCTAGTGCAGGAACAGAAAACTATTAGAGAGATTTTACTGTATCCACACAAACTTGTATAGCTGCATAAATGTATGCATAAAGAAAATTATTTCATTTATAAAAATTTACAAAAATGTGATTAGATAATTTTTGTTATGCATACGTTTATGCGACTATACAAGTTTGTGTGGATATACCCTAACTTTTATTTAAACGCGCTCGTTAGAGTCTCATGAGCAGAAATTTACAGCGAGATCAATTACAATCGCAGAAAAGTAAGAGTAATGACTAAAGAGTTGTGATTAGTCGCGCTGTTTCATTCCGCTGTAAATTTCCGCTCATGGGATGGCACCCTTATGGCTCCCGCACACAGAACGCGCAGCAAATGTTTGGTGGAAGCACAGTATATACAGAAGCGCAATTCTCTGTCGGCACCTTTGATTTTAGTGTCGGCCAAAATGGAGTGCGCATGCGTGAAATAAGTACCTTAAGTACAATACTTTATAAGTAAGTTACCTAGAGTTGCCACGTTTACTACCTAAACTTCTTGCGATGCGAATAAATCTAATATCCCTGGTGAAAAAGTTTCGCTGAAATTATTCCACGTTTTGGAACATTTCAGCGAAATTGCTGAAATTTGCTGAAACTTCAGTGAAAATGAATTTTTCAGCTAACACATTGAAAAATCACTGAAATCCAATCGAAATTTCTCTGAAATTCTTGCTGAAATTTTTCTGAAACTTTATCGAAAATGAATTTTTCAGCTAAAAATCACTGAAATTAAACTGAAATTTTGTTGAAATGCTGAAATTTTGTTGAAAAGTATTCCAAAACAATAATTTCAGCAACATTTTTTCATCAGGGATTGCAATGAAATAATTTAAACTTTATGAAAATTAATAAAAATAAATTGTAAATATATTGAAAAATAAAGAAAAAATATAGAAAAATTAGAAAAAATATTAAATTAACTTAAAAATATATTTGTATAAAGAAATATTATGTAATTA